CCAGTTCTGGCCAGAGGGGGTAAAATGGGTTTATTTGACCCCCAGCAGCACAGGAATTTCCCACGTGGTGCTCGTCAGCGCTTCACCCATCACCTCGTGTCACAATATGAAGAAACAGGGCTCTGACCACCTCCTCGGGGACTCAGACCCTCACAGACCTCACCAGCAGCACCTGATCGCTCTCTTTCAGTTTTATTTCACCCCTTGATGCCACCAGAATGGAGACATTTCTGTAGCTTACAGCCCAAACCGCTCAGCAGCTTCTTACCTTCGCTTTTCCTTCTCAATTAACGCCAAGACACTCAACTACCGCTTTGCCGAGCTGCCGACGGTTTTCCCCACTTATCAGCCAGCAGCGCCCAGACTTCGCATGAATTCCCTGCCCCAAATACGGCCAAGCAAACCCCACCTGCCTCCATCCCGCTCCGCTCCTTTTTCTTTTGCTGCTTCCCCACCCAGGAAATTCCCAGTTGGCATCTACCACCAGCCAACACCTCCAGCTTTCCTACAATCTCTTTTTTTTTTTCTCCTCCCCTCTCCTGCTCCAAAGGTCCTCGTACCTTCGTTTGCTGTTCATACTTTCCACTTTGGACCAGGAATCCATCTCCGGGTTGTAAACCTCCACGGTGCTCAGCCTCAGCTGCCCGTCGTAGCCGCCGATGGCGTAGAGCAGCCCGTTGACCACCGCCACCCCGACGCGGCTGCGGGCCGTCGTCATCGGCTGGCACTTCTCCCAGCGGTTGGCAATGGGATCAAAGACTTCCACCACGTTCAGCGAGTCACCTGCATAAAAATTTGCTACTCAAATTAAAAAGAGGGAGACGGGATAAAATGCTGTTTTAGCAAGCTCGCCTGGAGCAGAGGCACCTGAGGGATACGTGGTTGCTGCTCTGACCCCAAGGATGGGGCTGACACGGGGATTTTTCCTGCTCTTCCCTGGGAAAACAGCCAGGATTCTCTCCCAGAACAGGTTCTGGGCTCTCACACGTCCTGTCCCAGCCTCCCTGCTCCCACAAAGTCAAATCAGAGACATTTCCCAGCCACGTCTCTGCTTGCCTGCAAAAAGAGTTTGGCTCTGAAAAACTCACATAACTGCACTCCACAGCGCAAAAAGGTTGCTCAGCGTTCCAAAGCGTGCCCGTGCTCCGCACCACCAGACGTGACAAGCCCTGGGCTGTGCAAGCGGGATCTCCGCTGACCTCAAAGGGGCAGCAGAGACCCGCGATGTCACATCTCTGGGTGTCGCTGCTTCCCTCCGTCCCGCCTTAACGAGGCTGGTTGGGGCTCCAGCAGATGGTTCCACGAACACTTTGTGTCCTTTTTTACCCCATGGCTGGGCTCGTGTACACGCACTGTGTCTGTCTGCACGTGTGATCCCACAACCCCAACACCATCACCTAGATCCTCCAAGGTCCGTTTGTTGCTACAGGCAAGGGCACCATCCTCAGAACGCTGATTCTTTAAGACATGCAAGAGTCGCTGCCCTAAATAAACCCCAGCTAGAGAGAGGCTGTAGCTGGAAGATGTCAAACGATGGGCGCAGCCACCTCCAGTGTTCCAGTGGAAGGCTCAAAGTGCTGCACCGAGGAGGAGAAACTGCTCAGCGCTTCCCTTGAGGTCCACGTGAAGTCCATGGGAGTCACAGAATCCCAGGATGGTTTGGGTGGGAAGGGACCTTAGAGCCCACCCAGTGCCACCCCCTGCCATGGGCAGGGACACCTCCCACCAGCCCAGGGTGCACCA